AATAAATTGATCATTATGTTGATCATTATGTTGAAAATTTGAAAAATACTGAATAAATTGATCATTATGTTGAGAATTTGAAAAATACTGAATAAATTGATCATTAAGTTGAGAATTTGAAAAATACTGAATAAATTGATCATTATGTTGAGAATTTGAAAAATACTGTATAAATTGATCATTATGTTGAAAATTTAAAAAATACTGAATAAATTGATCATTATGTTGAGAACTTGAAAAATACTGTATAAATCGATCATTATGTTGAAAATTTGAAAAATACTGAATAAATTGATCAGTATGTTGAGAATTTGAAAAATACTGAATAAATTGATCATTATGTTGAAAATTTGAAAAATACTGAATAAATTGATCATTATGTTGAAAATTTGAAAAATACTGAATAAATTGATCATTATGTTGAAAATTTGAAAAATACTGAATAGATTGATCATTATGTTGAGAATTTGAAAAATACTGAATAAATTGATCATTATGTTGAGAATTTGAAAAATACTGAATAAATTGATCATTATGTTGAGAATTTGAAAAATACTGAATAAATTGATCATTATGTTGAGAAATTGAAAAATACTGATTAAATTGATCATATTGTTGAAAATTTGAAAAATACTGTATAAATTGATCATTATGTTGAAAATTTGAAAAATACTGAATAAATTAATCATTATGTTGAAAATTTGAAAAATTGAATAAATTGATCATTATGTTGAGAATTTGAAAAATACTGAATAAATTAATCATTATGTTGAGAATTTGAAAAATACTGAATAAATTGATCATTATGTTGAGAATTTGAAAAATACTGAATAAATTGATCATTATGTTGAGAATTTGAAAAATACTGATTAAATTGATCATATTGTTGAAAATTTGAAAAATACTGTATAAATTGATCATTATGTTGAAAATTTGAAAAATACTGAATAAATTGATCATTATGTTGAGAACTTGAAAAATACTGAATAAATTGATCATTATGTTGAGAACTTGAAAAATACTGTATAAATTGATCATTATGTTGAGAACTTGAAAAATACTGAATAAATTGATCATTATGTTGAAAATTTGAAAAATACTGAATAAATTGATCATTATGTTGAGAACTTGAAAAATACTGAATAAATTGATCATTATGTTGAGAACTTGAAAAATACTGAATAAATTGATCATTACGTTGAGACTTTGAAAAAAAAAACCTAAATAAAGTTGACCATTATGCTGAATATATTAATGACCAAAAATCATTTGTGGGTTATTCTTTTTTAGATAAGTAGGGTGTGGATGCTTACCAAGCTTTCAGACTGGATATTTCAGTAGGAGTATATTCATCAGGTGAAACATTAGAATCTGTCAGATGAGCAGGTATAAATTCAGGTTTTAAACATAATACATTATTCATTATTAATGTTTCTAATTCACTCTGAAAATAATATAGAAATTCATGGGAAGTTATATTCTATTAAACTCATAAGTATATAAAACTCTGCTACATACATACAGCAATGCTTTTTTCATCCAAAAATGATTTTGTCAAAAGGGAGCTCTGAAATGAGGTGAACATGATTTCGGTACATTTTGAATTGAAGGGTTCAAGACCACATTTGGTATGTTTTGACCAATAATGATCGGTCAGTTTTTCCATGAATCTATTTTGACCAATTCCAAATGAAATAATGTTTTACAGCAGTGAATAAAAATTTGTTATCATGGAAGATAAATCAATGCATCAAACTTTCTAAACAACAGTTTTTCTTCAGTAACCTAGCATACATTTCTAAGGATTGAATTACTTACTTGATTTAAGGGCACTTTGTGTAGTTCTAGGAATGCATGTGTGGCAGATATATCACTAGGATAGGGCGGTCTGAAAATATATATTGATATCATAAGACTATACCAAAACGGTCAGTTCAGTCATCAAAAGTTCTTATAGGAAAGATGCATGGGTCTCTCATGATGCATGCTTGTTCAACTGCACACAGCTAGGACAATCTCCCTTTTTTGACTGATATACTTCGAAATTGGCACCAGCTGTGTGAACAGAACATCATAACATTACCTGTATGAACACAACATCATCTATGTGAACATAACATCATCTTTGTTTAATAAGTACTTACTTCAGTGATAACACTTTAGCACCACCAGCTACCAATAATCTAGAAAAGTTACTCTCTTTATTTTTATCAGTAGACAGTATAACTTTCCATCCACAAAATGCTCCTGCATTCTTCTTGTTCTTTAAAAGAAATTGAAGCATCATTAAAATCCATTTATTTTTTACAATGTCAAATTTCTATGGAAAAAATTCAAATAAGAACCCTGATCAAAATTCCATGGGACCAAATGTTAATGGTTCTTTACATGATGTCATTTGCTTGGTTGCGCTGAGTGAATGGTGGTCGTGGGTTCCGATCTCGATCAGCATGTCATAATTTCAATTGGCCCAATTGTATATGGGAAGGAATAATCCAGGAGCCAAGGATCAGCTGGTAGAAAGGATCCTTAACTCTGAACCTAAGTTGTTTCTTTCTTTTTCTTTCTTGCATTATCAGAATTGGCATGAGAATCAAAGACTCACAAAACCTCATTTGCAAATAGGAAATTCAATTCAGCAGCAGTTTAATGAACAGGAAAAGAAATAGGTTTAGCACCCTTACCTTGGACATCTCATGTACAACTTGTCTCCATCTATTTGCAGCCGACGCCAATTTAATCATGTTATTACTCATACCTTGTATAGATTTCATATCTTCACCACCCCATTCATATAACTCTTCCTAAAATATAACAAGTCATTATTAATACATCTACATTGTAATGATTTCATATCTTCACCACCCCATTCATATAACTCTTCCTAAAATATAACAAGTCATTATTAATACATGTACATTGTAATGATTTCATAACTTCACCACCCCATTCATATAACTCTTCCTAAAATATAACAAGTCATTATTAATACATGTACATTGTAATGATTTCATAACTTCACCACCCCATTCATATAACTCTTCCTAAAATATAACAAGTCATTATTAATACATGTACATTGTAATGATTTCATAACTTCACCACCCCATTCATATAACTCTTCCTAAAATATAACAAGTCATTATTAATACATGTACATTGTAATGATTTCATAACTTCACCACCCCATTCATATAACTCTTCCTAAAATATAACAAGTCATTATTAATACATGTACATTGTAATGATTTCATAACTTCACCACCCCATTCATATAACTCTTCCTAAAATATAACAAGTCATTATTAATACATGTACATTGTAATGATTTCATAACTTCACCACCCCATTCATATAACTCTTCCTAAAATATAACAAGTCATTATTAATACATGTACATTGTAATGATTTCATAACTTCACCACCCCATTCATATAACTCTTCCTAAAATATAACAAGTCATTATTAATACATGTACATTGTAATGATTTCATAACTTCACCACCAAATGCTGCAGCTGACAAGCATTTAATATCAAA